CAAAACTAAATTTAAATCGAGCTGACTATTTACTGTCTTTATAAGAAACGACTGGGTCTTAATGGCCGCCTAACTATCCGATAAAATGGCGATACGTAAACCACTACGTTCTAAGAGACGACAGTCTTTAGCTATAGCGAATACCTCTGCATTGAAAACGTTAAATTGGGCAGATGGATTGATCTTTTAAATACCAGGGGTTCAGAGAAAACACCTGCTCCAACTCCGCTTTCCATTTTAGCGCCATCGGTGTGCAGATGATGTAACCCGTGGGGAGATATAAATTTCATCGTCCCAGTCGGCACTCGACGGCAGAACGACCCCGAAGGTCTTGTGAAATTCAACTTCAGGTCGTATGTAATCGGTAGCCAGTCTCACCCTGGGGGGCTATGATTCGATTGCTTCGAAGATAGTTCGAATTATTCGATATTGCACTTTTATGCCGCCGATCAGAAGATGTACCACATTAATTATCATCGATTATAGGTGTCATGACCATAAATAGCTGATTTTTCGTAGTCAACAATGTCAGTGTTGCCAGACGCGGAACAAGACCCGGAAAATGGGTAATATCGTAGTATATTTGCGCAGAACTTCTTTCATTATCACTAAATTAACACTGAATTCTATGAACTCAACAGCAGATCATACTAAAATATGCACATCAAATTAAACGTAATAACTTGTACTTTATTAATAATATACATTTCTTTTGCATTATTTATGAAATTTTGTTAAAAAAAGGTTACTTTATGAAAAAATACGATTTTTTCCGTTTTTTAGTATTTTTGGTATCTATGGCTATGGCGTTATGGTGTGGCAACACTAATCGAATACAGTGTTGACCATAAGGTTGGTTGGAACAGCTGTTTTATATGGTTATGGTAATGTCACCACTAATTTAACCTTTAAATCTGCACTTGAGAACAAAGGGAGTAACGGTACTACCATTTTTTAATAACAATTTCTCTCGCCGTCTTCACAATTCCGACAATAACGTTCGCCGCTTTATCTCTTACCCCCAACCTACCCCAACGTAATTATCACTAAAGCCATTTAAGGAGAAGTGTAATTACTTTTTTCTCTCTCATATTTGTTTTACACACCTCTTAACACTGAATCAGCTGATGAAGCTCTGCGTCAGCGTCTGAAGTATACTCTGCACAGCAATTGATTATACAAGTCCATCATATGTATCAGGGTTGTTGTGAATATTCGCATTCGCAACCGCGGAGCTTCCGCATTAATTTTAACATTCGCAATAATCAATGCGGAGCTTTTGCGAATGCGAATGTATATTTGGCAAAGAAAATTACAAGTTTAAGCCAATATTTTTGCGGCACAAAGGAGTATTTGTGTAACAAAACCGGTCAAAAGTCAGATTTATCATTTCTGATAAAAGAGTCTTTAAACCTATTATTTCTCAAGCTACATATCGTCACCTGAAATGCAAAAAGACGTAACAAACATCATCGTTGTAATGCAAAAAGTCTAATAAAAAATTCAAAATTCACTTTTTGATTTTTATGGTGGATTTCATCGAATTACAACTCCCCACATCATTTTATGAAAAAAATTAAAATATTAGTCACGGCCTTTTTCCATTTCACTTACGATGATGTTACGTCTTTTTGCATTTCAGGTGACGATATGTACTATGTATATAAATAACCGAGCTATCAAGGGGCGGTTATTCACATTCCCACTTCTACTTGATCATTCGTTTCTTTCTGTATTATAATTTTGTGGACCAATCTTAAAAAAAAAACTACTAGACATGAAAGAAGAAGTGTGCACAGTTTAAACCACTTTTTGTGATTTGCTTTTGATCTTATATTCGTTTCAATCATTTCAAATGAAGCTCATTGTGAAATTTATTTCAAACTAGTAATTTTTAGCAAAAAAAAAACCGACTTCAACTCCCATATAAAAAAAAATATATATATATATATCTCATGATCCACTGATCGGATCTCAACCAGATTAGTATGGGACCACCTCTGAGACACTACCTTTCCGATGCAAAAATTGAATTATCGAAATCGGTTGACGTGGTACAAAGTTATGCGGTAACATACATAAAAAAAAAATAAAATATTCCGACGAACTGATAACCTCCTCCTTTTTTGGAAGTCGGTTAAAAACAGTTGTTTACTTATCGGGAAATATATTTTTTCATAGGGATATACATTGAACTCTTGGCTAAAAACTTCTGTGCTAAAACTGTCCCGTAGTTAAAGTCAAAAAGTAGGCTCCTTCAATAGGAATTTGCAGCAGAAATGTTCAACGTCTTGCTATAAAGAGAATCGTGGCTCAAATAATTTAAAAGCTGTGCATAGGGTAATATTATTTTTAAAAGATCTGTTGGAAAAACTAGATTTTTTTCTACTTCTCTTTAGAAAAGTGTAAGTGTCATAATTAGCACGCAGCGAAATAAAGATAAAAAGGAATGTGAAAAAGTTGACTGCCAAGTTCACAAATCAAATAAGAATCTATTCAAGGCGAAGTTAATATCTATTGGGGAGTGGAACTTGGCATGCAATATATTTATGTTGAAAATTTGAAATTTGCGTGCATCTGTCATAAAATATGACAACGCATTGACCGCATGGAATCGAACAACAAAATGGATTTGATAGCTTATGGCACTGACAGCGGTGTGTAATTAATTGTGACTGCCTGCAACTAGGAAAAGTCGAGCTCAGCTAATAAAAACACCAATTACAAGCTTTTCATTACAGCTGAACTTTTAAAGAAGCCACCCGGAAACTAAGCAGCTCTGAGATCCGCATCATCCGTGATTACAATAATTCAAATGCTTATAAAAAAACGGGGGGCCTTTTAAAAAAATAAGTAGCAAGATTCTGATCCAATTCGGCTAGCAGCTACGACTTTGAAAACAAAATTTCGTTCGAAATTTTCATTCCTAGAAAATAACAACTTATTTGCCATATCCACCATTTTAGCTCGCTATAAGCACAAATTTGCCATAATGCTAGATTCTTCAAGTGAAGATGAAAGTCAGGAGGATACATCCGACATTTTCAAGTTTCACACGCAGATACATATTTGTCGCCTCGAGCGAGCAGTTATTTAGTGGCGCGGGTTTGATTTACGACCCTTTTAAAAACAGGCTGCAACCGGAAAAAGCAGCAGCATTACTTTTTATTAAACATAATGTTCCAATTTCAAGTACTCAATAAAAAAAATACATATTATTAAAAATTATTAACTTTTGCATTTTTTTATTTACCTAATACATACACCTAATTTAATTATCTAAATTATTTCGTAAAATTACTTGATATCCGCATTCGCATTCGCATCCGTGGATTTTAGCTTTAGACATCTAAAATTCCACATTCGCAACAACCCTAATATATATATGTATATGTACTACATAGGAGTATCAAGCGCCAACTTGGGCGTCACTAAAGTCGAAGTCGACGTCAACGTTTTGATCGTCGTCATTTGTGTCTTCGCTAACTTCAATGCTGCCCCCAGGTAGTATTTGATTGTAATTTAAATATGTAGTAGGCAGCTTTTGTTTGAGCTTGAAAATGATGAATGAAGCTCGCTACTGCTGTTCGCTCTCATTACGATATTTAAGTAGTATCCCCATATATGTATGTATGTATTTATGCGAGTAGTTAGTTAATTAACTTGCGATACAGCGCAAAACAACTTACCTTACTATTGTAGTAACTATCTAGTTAGTTGACGCGGAAAACTCTTTAACACTGATATTATCGCATTGCAAAAACACACACACTCAAACAATAACAATAGCACAACAAGCAGAATGATAATAACAATTAATAATGTGCTGGTAATAGGTGCGTTCGTTTAAAATCTCCAGCAGAAACCAACCAACTGCCAAATTTCGGCGAAATGTCATCTGTTCTCTCACAAGAGAGAAATATCCAAAATAGTACGCGAACAGAAAATTTGCAGAAACTTGCAAGTTAGACGAACAGCTGATATAATTTTTGTTTACATACAAAAGTGTAAAATTTAAAACGTACGAAAAGTCATCGCAAAGTGTTATACTGACACAGTTTATTGATTAAACAAATAACTACTTATTTCTTACAAGTTTAATTAGTCGCATTTTGTAATTTTTATCTTCCAAACTATCAAATTAAATTTTGTGATTTGCGTAAATGCCAACCAGCTGTTTTTGATCAGCTGTTTTCCTGTTGGCAAATTGCTGTTGGCAAAAATTTTTCCAGCAGAAACCAGCAGCTTCCCCTCAAAATGAAATGTCAGTTTGCTCTCTCAATTTCCCCTACTTTGCAAGTTTTTTGCGTACGCGAACGCAAAAACTTGTAAGTTTTGGTTAAACATGAACAATTAACAGCTACGCGAACGAACCTAATATCAAAAGCAAAAGCGTCAACGTTCGTTGGCTTTTATTGTGTTTGTTGTCACTCTGCTGGCTGACTGGCTGGTTGGTCGGTTGTTTGGCTAGTCGATCGTTTAGGGGCGGCTAAAACAGTTAAAATGTTGTCGATACACTTGCGCTTCGCCAGTTCAGTCGTCGCGAGGAATTGAAATGAGAAGGATCGGTTTAGTACGGTGATTCAAAAGTGAATTGAACAGAATTGGAAGTGTAAAAGTTGGAAATTTTTAGCGGAAATTGTTGGAGGCTTACCTCTGTATATGTAATAACTTCAAAAGTGCTAGTGTTTTCTATTTTTTTTTTGGTTATAAAAAAACGTAAACTTCCCTATTGTTGCCAATTTTTAGACAATACTGTAATTATGTCGTTACAAAGATTTAAAGTGTTTTTTTTTTATAAAGTGTACTTTTGAGTGTGCACTTTCTAATTTATTAATTTTAATGCTTCAGCGTAATTTAAATGTAAATCGAATGTGAGAACTTGTACGTTCATCTTGTTTGCTGTTTCACTGCGCATGTAGTACATTAGACCGTACCAGAAAAAAAAAATTCACCGTAGCTAATTTCGAAGAAAAATTTGTTTGGCCGAACATTTTTCGTTAAATCTTCGTCATTTATAGTCGGATCTTAAAGCCCGAGGAGAAAATTATTTTTGTTCATTGAGCTCTAGTACCCCGTTCAAGTACTTAAATACATACCGCATCTCAGTTCCTATAACCCTAACGTACCACCCTAATGTCGGTGAATTAAAGCTCGCTAAAAAGAATTAAACTTTGGCTAAGCAAGTATTTCGACTCGAAGGCAATTTCGATTTTTTTTTTTGCCGAACGTAGGGATCGCCTTTTCGCAGTTTTCGTCTTATCTTCGGCATTTGCAGGCGGATCTTAAAGTATGATTAGTATACATATTGATGTGCTTGTCTCGAGGAGACTTTTTTTATTCTAGAGAGTTCAGCGTCATTTAAATGTAAATCTAACCAAAACTCATTAAACTTTTGCTAAGGAAGCATTTCGATTATTCCAATAGAACTATTTTAAAAAACAATTTTTATTGCCAATGTAGGTGTAACCGAAAAATTTATAAGGCGATCCCTAAAACATAGTTTAGACTCGGGCGTGTACGGTGAAATTTGTTTTCGTTTGCTTGCAAGGTGATGCGATCTAATGTGCATACTCGTATTTATATGTACACTGTTATACATATTTTGTGTAAAAATAAGACAAATAAATATTTTTTGCACTGATCTTAGTATTTTACTAATAACGCTAATTGAATCGGTGAGTTCGACAACCGTAAAAGCCCGCAATTCGACATTTTAAATTAAGATAGGTATTTTATTTAAAATATATCTCTTCATCCACTGAGTATTAAACTGAATTTTTTAAAATATTTTTTTTTTTTTAATAATCTTATCCATGAAATTTCAAAGTCCTTTTAAAAAAAATTCTGACGTCACACAGTGCCGCCTAAATGTGAACTTGTTTGGTATTTTTTAAAGACAATTTATCCACTAAAACAAATTAATTAGACATTGCCGCCAGGAAGCCACTAAAGTCGAAAAATTTTATATTAAGAATTTTAATAAGAGCATAGCCATGCGTAAGCTCTTCACAGAAAAAATTTAAAAAATGCATTCTTTGAAATAAAATGTTGGTTTGACGTTTCTTGCTTCCATATAGATAGTAGAGAATTACAGGAATTAAAATTTTGGAATAAAATTAAACACAGGGTGTCCCTGCGGTATCCCAGAAAAGCAATTGTTTTAAACAAAATTTCAAAAAATGCTAAATATTTTAAACAAAATTTCAAAAAGTGGTAAATTTTAATGGAATGAATAAAAATATATGTAAAAATAGGTTCTTTTTTATTATTTTATTAAATAGTACGGGCTTTTAGCTTTCAAAAGAAGAAATAAAAACCTGCTCATTTTTTGCACTTTCTGAAGTAAGGCGTTTTTCGCTAATGCATACAATTATTTTTTCATTTTTTGTCAGTGCCTTGAGATCTGCACGATTCGTTCCATTTTGAATGAAGTGTCAGAATAAAAAGCTTGACCTGTGGATAATAGAAGGTTTATTTTTTTTTTAAGAGTTGCCACTTGTTAAAAAATTGGATTGTTCAAAAAGTAGATTCAAATTTTTTTATAAGTTAAATGAATTACTAAGAGATGGGTATCAATCGAAATGTGTAATAACTACATGCTGCGAGTTGCCACCTGTTTAAAAAATCAAATTCCACTTGAACTAAAGAAATTAGGTAATTGAAATAGATAGGTATCACCATAAGGGAGTCAGACGAAAGAGGTTTAAGAAGGTTTTAGCTAAAAAATATTACGAATAGGGTTGCCACCCGTTTGTAAAGTCGAATTTAGTTAAACTAAAATAATAATTACGACAAATTGCGCCATCGTATTTGTTATTTTATTACAAATACATAAATTGTCAATCAGTGATTTGTTTTGATTACATTCCTTTTAAATTACTGGACTCTTAAATTAACTCAGGAATGTTTTTACTCTTCACTTATTTCTTTCTAAATATGTCAAATTTTTTTCATTTTTCTGATACTCATATTGATATACATATTTCAGTTACCTTATTCCCTTAATTAAAGTGAATTTGATTTTTAAACATATGGCAACCCTTCTACGTGTCATTTAGAAGTAAACTATTTTCAAAACAAGTTCAATTGATACCCATATTGTAATATCTAATTCATTTGACTTATTAAATAATTTTAATAAAATTTGTAACAGGTGGCAACCCTTTTCAAAAATAAAAAACTTTATTGCACATCAACAGGCCAAGTTTTGTCATTTGACACCTCATTTTTGAAAATAGAACGAACTATATATACATACCTATGTAAAAATGACAAGAACCTAAATTTTCAACTTCAAACTGCATTTACAGTGAAAGTATGAAAGTTATCCAGAAACAAATTGCATTTTTGAATTTTGCGTCCTAAATTTTACTCAGAAGCGAATTTTGATTTAAATCCGTCCATAATTCTATTTTTGCCCACATTTTATATGGAAGGGAAGCACTGTGCGTCAGAGAGAAAAACTTTAAACACAGTTTTTCTTTATTTGGTCCTTAGTTTTAATAGCGTATTGATTTGTTTTATGTGTAAAATTTACTCTCGCACAGTGTAATATATACTTATGTACGTGGATAGATCCTCTTTTCAAGCCTGCATTTGAACTCTATTAAGGCAAAGTAAGTAGACATAATTGAAGATCCAATGGAAAAATATGCATTTAAATCGGTCCGGCGGTATGTCTAAAATTAATTTTGATCAGAAAAATGGGTGCTGAGGCTAAAGATATAGAGCCAAGATATAGTTAGAAAAAAGACTGGCATGCAAAATTTGCGATTGATATAGAAGATATAACCAAGTTTTAATAAAAATAGTGGATTTTTTAAGTGCCTACAATACATATTAATAACTAGCCACTTAACTGAAAAAAAAATTAGGGAATCAGCCAGCTAAGAGAAGTTGAGAATTCTACCAGTTTAAATGTAAAATTATTCGGCGACTTCTACACAATAACAAGAAGATTAAATGGCATGAAAAATGTCCAGCTTCAGCATTCACTTACGCACAGACACAAGTATTAATTTTAAAAACATTCAATGATGGCTCTGCTCACTTTCATTTCGTTGCTTCTTCAGCGACAATAACACGACTCTTGCGATCACTTCAAACTGTCGCTGACAGGGCTTAATGTTCTTAAGCCATAATTGCCCTTAACCTTGAGCAGCTGACTAAGTAGATTGTGCGATTGCGCAGCCGCCACTGCTGTATTTGTATGTATGTATGTATGTTGACCAGTTTCTTGTCAGTTTTGTGGCTTGGTAATTTTCCCAAGACTTGAAGAAGATGGTTTACTTTGTTTTGTTTTAAATGTTTTTTTTTTAATTGTTCTGAACGCTTCTAGAATTCTAGCAAAAGTCAACAATCCAGTAATATTCATACATATAAATAAACTTACATATTAATACAACACAATTTCGCATTCCACTTATCCAGCTGGACTTTTGCTTGCATGTTTTTCATGCCATTCTCATACATCAAGCTTAACTGTTCAATCACTTCGAAGCATACATATGTACATACATCCGCACATATGTATAAATGCATACATATATCTATTTATAAGCCGATCAACGTCTTCCCACAATTGGGTTATCTGTACAAGGTATTCAGCTGCTATTTAGCCAAGGTCACTTACTCGTTCAATGGGTGGATTACAGTGTACAAAGTGGGTCCTCACTTTTCTAAATACCTATACGTTTCACTTATCGTGATTAGTTGTGTCACGAATGTTGTTTTATCTTAGTTAAAGTTAAGGTGAAGAATTTTCTCATGATTTGCTTAAAACAATTGTTAGTTACACCAATCAAATAAATTTGCATATAGGTTACATTGAGGCGTAGAATTATACACCATTGTACACCTGAAATTAACAAGATATGTATGTAGTAAAAATAAAATAAAATAAAATTTAATAATTACTAAAATATCAATGCGCTTAACCCATTAATTAAACTAATAATTAGTTTTATTTGCCATTTACTCAGCCTGAATGAGCGACAAATCGAATCCAACATGACAATTACGACATACTTAGCCTTGAACATGAACATGAACATGGCGGCATAAATTTGCATAGAAGTTTTTGTGCGCCAAAGCCAAATAAAAGTTTGAAACAACAAATAGGTGTTGCGTGAAATTTTATTTTATTTCTTCTTCTTCTTGTTTGGCGCTGTAACCGCCAATAAAATTTTGGCCGAATCCAAAATATTGTTTCGCCAACCTCTTATGTGCCAACTGATGCTAATCGGGAATGGGAAGTGAAGCATGGCTTGACATGGCTTGACAGTCCTTCTCCACCTGGTGTTTCCATAGCAGAGGAGGCCCTACTCTTGCTTTGTTGATTACTTTCAGGGCTGAAGCGCTTATGTCTATTCGTACATGGCCGAGCCAGCGAACCCGCTGCATTTGAATCAGCTGTACTATGCCCATGTGAGAGCATTGACATCTATACAAATAGCTCGAAACTCGTAGGTAGGACGAGAAGAGGCTTTTTCTCACGAAATCCTCCGATGAAAAGCAATTTAATGTAGCCAAACTACTGCAGCGTATTCCAAGCTGAGGTTTCAGATATCATGGAGACTGAAGGTTGGGACCGAGGAAGACAGATCTTCGATTCGAAGATTATGCTGGACTGCAGCCTCTCTCTACAGGACAGACTTCACCTCACTTGCGTTCTTGGTCATAGGTCGAACATACATGGCATATGAACTTGCAAGGTAACGCACGACCAAGCAGATGATTCCTGGTAAATAACGCATTGGTATGCCATATGCCACTTGCAAGCTGCTACATACATAGAAAATTTGTATACAAACAGGCTTGCGAAAGAGAGTCAAAGTACAATTTGTCAAATTTCCAGGCAGACGTGGCCTAATTTTGAACCGAAAACGATCACGTAGCGCCAAATAAGAAGAAGTGCTGGTTCCCATATACATACACATATGATAGTGTCGATATGGTGAGTGTCGATCCTTCTCTCGTGGGTATTTTATCAGATTTGGTGTGTAGTAAATAATTAGTTTATGATAAATTTCCTACTAGGTCTGAAGCCACGCTGATAAGGCTCAATCAATTAGTTTACGGTGGGCTTCAGCGCCTCCGTTTGTCGAATATTGCGGGGTCGCCTGTCTCTTATCTCCTCATCTTCCCGACTACTTTCAGTGATATTCAGAACGTCGGAGAGGCGTGACTTCCATACTTTTAGCACGTTTTGGGCATTCGGTCACTTGCACGTCGTGTTTGTGTTCACATTAGTTCGTTCGTAAGTTGCCTAACTTTTTGATAAAATCTTCTGGTGTTCTCCATGCCTTCTGTTACAGCACGATGGATTTGCTTTCTAAGTAGTTTTCCCATCTCGGTACAGCCAT